GAGGTTTCCGTTGATGGAAGGACAATTCCTCATTGAGAGTTTCCTATACCAATGGTATCAGAGGTGCAGTCCAAAAAGCAGTTCTTAAGTCTCCATTGCATGCTAAATGCTGTGCAAGGCTTTGGGGATACAAAGTCAAAAAATGAAACAGAAGTTCTTAACCTGGGGTCCATAAACTTTTTAAAAAAGATTTAGTAACTATTATGTTATTTTTAAATTTTCTTTATAATCCTACACATTTCATTTTATGTATTTAAAGACATTATCTCAAGGAGATCATAGGCTTCACCAAACTGCTAGAGGGGAACATGACACAAAAAAGGTTCAGAACCCCTGGCTTAGATGATGACTGCTAACATTTACATAATGCTTGCTATGTGCCAGGCACTGTGCTAAGTGCCTTACAAATATTATCTCATTTGATCCTCACAACAACCCTGGGAGATAAGTATTATTATTATCCTCATTTTACAGATGGGGAAACTGAGGCATACAGATGTTAAGTGACTTGCCCAGGTCACACGACTCATATGTATCTGAGGTTAGATTTGAACTCAGACTTACTTCTTTCTAAATACAATTATTTTCAGGAGAGGGTACTAACAACTAGGAGAAATAAGAAAGGCCTCTCATAGAAGTGATATTTCAGCTAAGCCTTGAAGGAAACTAGGAATTTTAAGAGGTGGAAGTGAGGAAGGAGAACGTTCTAGTTATGGGGGACAGATAGACTGTGGGAAGGCGCAAAGATTGGAGGTGGAAATATCACCTGCCAAAAACAAGTGGGCCAGTTTGGCAAATGTTTCAACACTTGTTAAAAGCTGAAGGGAGAAATTTGAGAAATAGAGGGGGTTCCTCCTGAAATTATACCCAAAGCATAATTGTAGGAATAAGGCCTCCCTTGGGACAAAGTATTACTGTCTGATTGTCTATGTAAAGAAAAAGGAAGCCATTAGAGGTATCGAATGATCAGTGTTGCTATCTGGTAAGAACCTATTGGGTTCTACTGTTACAGACCTGTCGTATATAAAGCAGACCATCTATAGCTATTCAGCCCCATAAAGTGGTCTGACAAGACCCAACTGGTCCATTGGTATGATGGTAACCAGAGTGCCTTGATGGCTCATTAAAGTCTAAGGAAAAATGATCTACAAGTAACCACAGAGAAGAAGCTACTTAACACATTGCCAGATGTGCCTCAGTTGGGTTCAGGTAATATGAAGAGAAGATTCCATCCTTGCTAACATATTTCCTTTAGGAAATATTTTTTTAAACTAGTCTAGACAAGAAATAATGTTACAAATGAACCCTCAAATCATTAAGCCAGCAAGGCAGTTATCAATGTAATGTGACAGTACTATGGAATGACATTATGCCTCTTTTATTTTTAATATTTCTTTTATTATTTATTATATTATTTATTAATTATTATAAATTGCTTATCTTTAATTTATTCTTACCATTCTTTTTTTAATTTTGAGTTCTAAATTCTTTCCCCTCCCCCATCCATTGAGAAGGCAAGCAATATAATATCGATTATACATATGAAGTAATGTAAAACTTATTTCCATATTAGCCATGTTATTTTTTTAAAAGCAAGAAAAATAAAGTTTTAAAAAGTGTACTTCAATCTGTAATCAGAGTTTATCAGTTCTGTCTCTGTGGAGATATGTAGCATTTTTCACCCCAGGTCCTTTGGAATTGTCTAAGTCTTTCACAGTTGATCAACATTACAGTATTGCTATTACTGTGTACAATGTTCTCCTGGTTCTGCTCACTTCACTTTGCATTAGTTCATATAGGTCTTTCCAGGTTTTTCTGAAACTATCCTGTTTGTCATTTCTTATATCACACATCATAATCACATACCACAACTCACTCAGCTATTCCCCAATCGATGGGCGTCCCGTCAATTTCCAATTCTTTTATGATGCCTCTTTCAGAAAAAAACCCAGTTAACTTTTTTCAGTGTGCGCTGTTTCCATGTAGCCCCTTCCCCCAAGGAGTCCCAGTAATATGGCCAGTTATGTCAGGGTGGCTGGCCGGCACTTCATCCTGAGGGCAACTTTTGGTACAGGATTCTGTTTCCAAGAACCAAGGGGGGATGGGGGGGGAGGGGTCAGCCGAATGCTCCATGGCTCAATCAGCAACAGGGTGGGTTCTCCACCCCTGCAACTTGCCAACATTCCACAGGACCAGGCAAGACCCAGGACATTCTGTGCCACCACACAGCCCAGAGATGTTACTGTGACCTTAGGAAAGTCATTTCCACTCTCAGTCTCAGCCACCTCATCTACAGTACCAATCTTCCAACATTGTGCAATACAATTTTACCACATACAATTATATGATGCCCCAGAGTCATCAGGGAGAGATTAAATGGTGTGTTGTTTAGAAGCATTTCAATACAAAAAGGGTTAAAACTCTACAAGTTGTTTGGCTTTGAGAAGGTGAATCCTTAACCATCCAGAAAACTGGACTATTTATAAAAACATACCCTGAGGGTTCTAGATAGCCACAATTCAATTCAATTTTTTTTAAAGAGTTTTTTAAGCATATTCTTTGTACAAGATCTTGTTATTTGGTGCTGGTGATAGAGATACTGTATGTTGTTTTAACTTGTGTTTTTTTTTATGTCTTGTGCGAGTCTTGGCTACTCAACTGTTTCTCAAGGACAGAGATCATATTATGTCTTAGGTTTTGTTTGTTTTGTTTTTTCTGCCACCCCCACAGTATCTAGCCCAAGGCTGAGCACATAGTTGATGATTTATAAATACATATTGACTGACTGATCAGAAAGAAAAACCAAGGAATCCAGGAAGTGCCACCCAGACAGAAGCAGGGAATGACCTTCCCTTTGTTAAGAGTAAAGTGCTAGTCTTACTATTGGGCATATACCCCAAGAGAGGTCAAAAGCAGACAGAGAGGGCTGCCATATATCTGCCAAAATATTCACAGCAGCACTTTTTGTGGTAGCAGAGGACCAAAAACACAATAAGTGCCCATTAATTTGGAAATAGCAGGACAAACTGTAATTGATCAATTAATGAAACATTAGTGGACAAAAATAAATGACTATTGATTTAATAACCATCTCTATGCTGAAGACTCTGAAATCTACCTATCCTGCCCCAAATTCTCTACTAACCTTCATCTCTCATCTCCAGCTTCCTTCTAGACATTTTGAACTGGGTAGACATCTTAAACTCATTATGTCCAAACTGGAATCTATCATCTTTCCCCCTAAACTCTTCCCCTCTCCTATCTTCTCTATTACTGTAGAAGGTTAACACCATCCTTCTAGTCCCCTAGGAATCATCCTGGATTCCTCACCATCTCTCATCCCCCATATTCAAGCTATTGCCAAGACCTATCAATTTCACCTTTGTTACATCTCTCCAATACACCTCCTTCTCTCCTCTAACACTACCACCACTCTAGTGCAGGCCTTAATCAGCTCATGCCTGGATTATTACAATAGCCCGCTCATGGGTCTTCCTGCCTGAAGTCTTTCTCCATTTGGCCACTAAAGAGATTTTGCTAAAGCATAGATCTGATCATATCATCCCCTCCTCTATTCAATATTAACTCCAGTATTTCCTAATCACTTCCAGATTCAAATACAAAATGCTCTGTTTGGCATTCAAAGCTCTTTATAACCTAGCCCCCTCCTACCTTTCTTACATTTTACTCCCCTACATATACTCTGAGATCCAATGACACTGTCCTTCTGGCTATTTCTCAAAGGAGACCCTCTCTCTCGGCTCCAGGCACTTTATCTGGCTGTCCACTATCCCTAGAGTGTTCTCCCTCTTCCACTCTGCCTGCTGACCTCCTTGGCTTCTTTCAATTCCCAACTAAAATCCCTTCTTTTACTTGAAGGCTTCCACAACCCCTCATAATTCTAGTGCCTTCCCTCTGTTAATTATTTCCTATTTATCCTATGTATATAGCTTGCTCTGCATATATGTGTTTTCATGCTCTCCCCCACCCCCTGTAAGCTCCTTGAGGGAAGGGACTGTTTTTTGTCTCTTTTTGTATCTTCAGCACTTAGGACTGTGCTTAATATAATAGTACTTAATAAATGTTTATTGATTGATTGCTAAGGAACCAGAAAAACAAGAGAAGATGTCTCTGAACTGATACAAAGTAAAATCAGGAGAACAATATGCACAGTGACACACAATATAAAAGAAAAGCACACTAAAAGGAAGCAGAAGTAATTCAGAAAGTCTTTCTTTGTGGTCCCAAAGAAGAGACAATTATATGCCCTTCAATCTGAGCAAGGCAGGCAGGGGAGTACAGGGACAGAATGTTGAGTACACCTGCAGATGTTGCCACTATGTGGTTGTTTCTGTTACAGTTTGTTTGTTTCAAAGGAGAGCTCTGTTTGGCTTTAGTGAGGAATATTCACAAATTATAGTGGTATCAAAACAAAACAGAAATTGTTTTAAAAATGAGTTAGAAGTTACTGTTGTATGACTAAAATGATTATAACTGAAGTAGCAGTGGATGTAAGAGCAAGCTGAGAAGCTTTGGCAGGGGGCTTCTTTTCTCCCAGTTATACGTATCACTTGGAGGGTATTCCTTTGAATGACAGTACCTGCCCTCTGGTAGGAAAACCCAATTAAACTGTGCAAAGAAACACATCCCTACTGCCTGTCCCAATCTGATCTCCTTCCAATAGATTTATTAATGGAAAGAATCACAGAATTGGATGTGACTCTCAGGGTTGAGCTAGTCCATCCCCTTGCTTCCAGGGAATACAGCCTGCCTCCCCTCAGTAAGATGGGTATCTCCCCTATTCTTACAGCTCTCCAGGGAAGATTTTATAGACAGTATCTGTCAGAGACCCCATTCTAGTGTTGAGCTGCCTTCACCCGGGGCTCGAGGCACCTGCGTTTGAACAGGATAACAACAACATTTTACATCCTGGAAATGTGTGGATTTGTACCATGTGAAATAAATGACTTTCCTGATTTTTTTTTTCGTTTCTTTTACAGCCTCAACAGAGGGTTCTCCGTAATCATGATTAGCCTCTAAAGCTGCTGTCCTGCCAGTTGATATGAAAGTGGCCTCTCCCTCATGAAAAGCCGAAAGAACGGCAGTGCCACAAGACGACCTTGGAGAATTGAAAGATTAACTGAGCTCCAACTACTCAGTCAAGATGATGGGTTTGGGAAAATCCTAGTTTGCCATGGATTTAAAATGTGGCACATCATCTCCAGTGCTAATTTGTTCCAAGTGGTCATTGACAGACCATTAGCTGGGAAATTGCTTCCAGTTTTCATCACTGTGCATAACTTGAGTTCCCTTCAGGGGACTCTCTGTGCCCTTCACTAGAAGTCCCATTTTAGCATGGCAACTACTGGATTATTTTATTATGTATGCAGATGGCATGATGTTTTAGGAACCATTACAACAGTTCTGCGATCTCAGTGGAAATGTTCACAATATTACACCCTGATAGGAATGTAAACATGTCTCGTATCTGTTAGTTATGCCGTCTAAAGGTATTCCATTCAATTATTAAGCACTTTATAGGTGAGCTCTACACAGAAGAATTAGCACGTTCTGTATATGTGAAGAAAAAAAAAACCAAGGTGTTCTTTTTTCTTTTTTTCCCCAAAATCTTGTTCTATTTCTAGGCTGAGATTGTCCCAGACAAACTCCACTATTTACATATCCTTCATGGTTTGTGGTACCTGGGTGTAGATATGGTCTTGGTACTGTTAGATTTCATCTTATAACATGTTATTGAACAACTGTCTTGATTTGAGCCAGGAAGAGATAAGCATGGGGGTAGTAGGTGGATCATGGTGATTATGCCATTACCTATGATTTTCTTATACTTAGATGCCCTCATGTTGCCCACAAATATAAACATACTTATCTTTGTGCCACTATAAACTTTCTTCTAATCAATAGAAGCAGAGATCTTGAAAACAGGGAGAGGGATTCCATTTTCATCAACAACCATGGGTCAGTGAGTAGTAAAGGCAAGAGAATTTGGTGATGTCATGGCTCTTGCTTGCTATAAAATGTTCTGGAAAGAATCATAGGTACCATTACAACAGTTCTGTAATCTCAGTGGGAAAGTTCACAATATTATATCCTATTAGGAATGTGAACATGGTTTAATGACATGTTATGAGCCTAACAGACTCATAGCATCATAGGTGGAACCTTCTAAGGCAAAAAACACAAAGCAAGTGACCAAACTGTATCCCACAAGAAGAATATGGATGTCAGTCCCCAGTAGGATTTCTTTTCCCATAGACAACTTCTAATCATCTCCCAGTTAGTCCTCTTTCTGTTATTTTACCATCAATATTTTGGGGAAATTTTTTCAGTTTTATTATAACAAAACCCAGTGATTTCTATCCTTAGTTCCTCTTGACGTGTCAGAGCCCACGTGGACCAGTCCTACTTAGGTGATCCAAATTTGGTTTCCCAAACCTAATACCACTATTTGAACTGAGTCGAGTCCAGTAAAGTTTATCTCCAAGGGTTGAGTCCTCACCATCCCAGGCCTAGCTTGTGAAGCCTAGAAAGTGACTTCTTTAAAATCACATGCGATAACTTGTAATTGACTGGGATCTTCCCCAAGTTGAGCATCTAGAAATATCTTCAGACACATAGCTTTCATCCAGTTGACCATCTTTCCAGGTCTTTGAATGGGTTTAGCTCATTGTGCCTCTGTTGAAAACTCCCAGTAAAGGGGACAGAGTTCCTCTTGAAACTCCAGTGAGTCAGAGGGAAGGATGGATAAACATAAGTTTATCAAGAGAGTGCTAGAGAAAGGAACCTACTGAGAAATAACACCTAAGATCCTACAGGTTCTCTTTCTCCTCTACCCTAATCATTCCCCAGCTATTCCCCAAGTAAATACCAAAAGAAGAAAATATCACTGCAGCCCCAAAAGAGATTTGTTGGAGTGGCTTTGAGAAAAGCTGACTTGAATTCTTTATCCTTTACTCTAGGGCAGGGGTGGGGAATGTTGAGGCTACATGTGGCCCTCTGGGTCCTCAAGTGCAATCTTTTGAATCCAAATTGCACAGAATTCTGCCAAAGGGTCCAGTCAAAGGGTGGCATTTGAGGCCCTAGAGGACCACATGTCACCTCAAAGCCACAGATTCTCCACTCCTGCTCTGGGGTATAATTCCAGGCTTTTAGCAGTATCCCTACCCCACTTCCCAAGCTGTCACCATTGGGTCATGCAAGTAGGGCTAATTCACTTCAATCTGTTTATTCTCTCCTGCTGCTTCTCCTGTTGATTCTTTATACAACCCCAACTCCCCCCATCCCACCCCTGGGGAGCACATCAAGTATTCATAACATACCTTGCACATCCAATCGATAGCCACCTGACCTAAGGCAGCATGGCACATCATGTACCACAGAGGTGAGAGGTGGTAGAATAAATCCATCAATTCCATCCATGCCTTATTCTCAGCTCTTCCCACTCCCAGTTTTCATCTTGCTTCCAGTTTTGTGTTTCCTGTCCTTATGATAAATACTATTCATACCTCTTTCCCATAATTCCACTCCATCCCACCCATATGGGTATATACATATATATATATATATATATATATATATATATATCTCCATACATTTGGTATGATACAACAATATAACACAGGGTTTGGACTCCACATAGTCTTTGCAAAGAAAGACTGCCGGGTTCTCAAGATATTGTGGCAATCTGGTGCCTATGGAGCTCCTCCTAGAATCCCTGAGAAAATTGTCTACTAGCAACCATATTTGGTCTCTTGCTTCTATCCCATGGAACAAATTAAAGGCTACTGGCATATTGTCTAGCCTTTTGGCTTTGGGGAAGTATAGTCTGAACATTGAGATCAGTTCATTTCCCAGATTAAAGTCTTATTGTCACTGCTTGGAATAAACAAAGGAAAAAAATTTTTTCAAGAATATAAATGCTCATAAATCCATTAAAAACAAGCAAGCTTTCTTCCATTGCTTTTTTCAAAAGTCTCCCAACTTGTTTCAAGTAAAAAGAGCTAGTTAGAGCACTGTTGAGTTGACATTTGTGAGAAGACAGTTAACCAAGAGAAGGACTCCAGATAGCTTTTCTAAGCATGTATTAGTGCCAAGCACTTATCATTCATGGAAATAGCTGAACTACTTTTTTTCAGATGGTTGTTCTGTTTCAGTGACTCCCAGGGATGGTTTGGAAAGCACAGCATAATAAATTCAAGGATAACTTCAAGTGTGAAATGGACCTAGTTGAAGCAACATTGGATTTAGTGACAGAGAACCCGGGTTCAAAACCTGCCTCTGTCATCTGGATAACTTTAGGGCAATTATTTTTCCTTTCAAAGGCCTCAAGGTCCCATTTGTAAAATAAGGGGATTGAACTAGATGGCTTTTAAAGTCCTTTCCAGCTTTAAATCTGTGAACCTATGACTCAGCCTTGGGTTTCTTTGGTGGTGGGAGGAGGAGCAGGGGGTTGAGCCTACATAGATTAAACGTGACTGCCTGCCCAAAATGGTAAGCATTCTTAACTTGAGTATCATCTATGAAATGACACTTCCCAGAAACTTAGAATACTTTGTACACACACACACACACACACACACACACACATAGATTTTCTTTGTTAGGATTTGGGGAGAATGGGGGCAGGGGAAGCAGGGGTGAAGTAGTATGTTGTTGAAATACTTAGAAATTTTTAACATTCACTTTTCCATTTTCTGAAAACCTACCCCACATCTTCCTATGAGCAAACAGACTCACACCCACCACTGCAGGGGAAAATATAGTCTTGAGAATGAATAGGCATGAATAATTATTAGGATCTCTAGGGTGCCAAAAAGAGGTTTGGAAAAGAGAAGAGATTAGCTAACTTTCACTAAGGAACTGAATTTAAATTTGAAAGATTGCGTAATTTTACAAATGCACCCTGGGGTTCTCAGACCTCAGAGACTTCCTCTACATGTCCTACAGGGACCTCAGAATTCCCCTAAGGGTCAAGAAGGACAGACTGGACAATTACGGGTATACAGTAGAGTTCTCATGGTAAAGACACTTCTAACTCACTAACCCCGTGGCTGAGTCCAGCTGTCTATAGTTTCCCAGCAAATACTGGAACATACTTTAACACCCAGGAAGATAAGGAATATCAACCTTATTTAAGAAAATAAGCGAAAGAAGAAAACTTCTAAGGGACTTCTCTACCCATATCCCATTACCTGGTAATACTTTCTCTCTCTCTCTCTCTCTCTCTCTCTCTCTCTCTCTCT